TTGCTCGCTTGCGCTGAATTCTCGGTTAGAGCGTCCCGAAAAGCCAGGAATGGAGTCTCGGGAGGCTGACGTTTGAAAAAATGAAAAAAGCGTCGGCGGCGGGATCCGTAGTCTGCTCACCGCTGGATGAGAGACGGGAACATGGCGTGAGCGTCTTGAAAGAAGCAAGACGAGGAAAAGCAAAGATGGTCGTCCGAGCGCCGGGATATGAGACCCTCAGAGACAGGACGAGACAATGGCATCGCGCGAATCAGAGATGTGCTAAATTAATAACCGCAGGGAGCGTGGTATATAGCAGTGGCCGTCTCTGCAGGCCAGTCACATTGGAGCTCCCAGTGTTTGGCGACGTGACGGGCGGCGTTTGTTGACTTGGTGGAGGGTGGGCTGCCATGTGTTACACAGATTGATTGCGGTGGATTCCTGGAAGCCGCGGTCAGCCGTGACAGAGTCAGACAGGTCGCCAAAGGATGTTAAATGGCGACGAGACAGGAAATACAACGACAGGGGACGGGAGCAGGAGTGATAGGTTGCAGCGGAACAGCGGAGGGCAGCGGCCGGAGACGGGGACGGAGGGAAGCAAAGTGCCGGCTGCGAAGTGACGTGACGCAGTGCAACGCAAGGCGCGAAGAAGAAGCGACAGAGACAGGAGGGAGGGTACGGATACTGCGTGGCAGAGGTGATGGCAGATGTGATGCGACCTGGAGGGCCGTGGTTGTTTGCTTTTGAGTGAGTTGCGTTGCAGCTGAAAAGCTCCGAGATGATGTTTTGGTGTGGGAGGGCGAGAAGCAAGACCTGGGAATACTCCGTAGTGCGAGGGTGGGTGGTACGGTGGGAAGAGACCTGACGGGACCCGAGTCGCAGAGAGCAGCGAGTGTGTGTGGAGGACGCGGCAAGCGACGTGATGGAGGTGGTGGTGAGGCGGTCCAGGGGCAGCGTCGTGGTGCATGTGTTGGTGTGCCTGTCTGTCCCGTCGCTTGTCGTGTGTGCAGCGTGATGGGAGCCTTGGGAGGTGGAAGTGGAAGAAAAGAGTGGTTCACCTCATGTGGCTGAACTCGCAGCAAGGTCGCAGCGTTTGCGAGAGCCCCGCCACAGATGTTTCTCTCGTACAGAAGGCGCCAGCCACTCGCACCTGCAGCGTAACACTTGGACACCTTCCAGGAAGGGACAGGTACATTCCTTCCATTACACTTGGAGGCACCTGCCCGTGAAGTCGCACTTTCCACCACCCTCCATGTCGTGGTTTCCCATCAGTTCATGGCAGGTGGGGGCCGGTGAGCAAAAGTCCCCGATGAACTCCACTTGCATTCGACCTACCTATCTGTAAGGTACTTTACCTTACACTGTACCTACTGTTGCTGCTGCTGTCGTTGTCGTTGTTGCCGCTGCCAATGCTGACAACTGTGACGGTGGGTTGCAACCACCTTTACACCTTCCATCCGATGTCATTGGGATCTTGCCCAAGCCTGTGACTGGTCTCTTGTCAAAAAGTGGTCAACTGCGCCCTTGACATTGACATGAACGACATCGACGACACGAGCGACGGGGCCCTTAGCCCCCTGATAGAAGCCATGCGCCTTCCTCATTGGACAATCCAGCGGCTGCCTGGAAGTCAATCCTTGGTGTACCTGCCTAAGCCTTGCGAACCAACATCAGCCCAGAGGAACGCCTTGCCCGTGCGGAGAAGCACGTCGAGCATAACAGAACCTCCATCGTTTGACTCATTGCCGGCCAGACGTATGAGTATTACTCTCTGTACTTTGGCGAAATCATCGAGCCAGCTTATAAGACTGTCGAACCGCCTCGAGTGATCAACACCATTGGCATCGGTATAAGCATCGGCATTGGCATCATCATCAGCCAATACTACAAATCCATTGTCAAAAAAAGCACCCTGAATCATCCACATTGCACGCAACGTCGCAAAGAACATCGGAACCCGAGACTTCGCACCTGAACCTGAAGGACAGCAAAGACGACGAAATGGCCGCCGCTGCTACCGTCCAACTGACAACACCGTCCATCATCGGCGCCAATCAGCCCTATGGCATGTCACCAGCCACCAGCATGGGTGACACGGACAATGTCACCGTCGCCGACATGAAAGAGGCAATCCGGCTCGCTCCCCTCTGCCGCGAGGCATTCAACCTGCTAGACGCAGAGATGCCCCGTTTCAACCACTCATATGCCTTCACCGCAGACGAGATTCTGGCCCTTCCTCTTGACACAGTTCGCATCCCCGACGAGTTGCACGGCTTGCCCCGCCGGAAATCTACGCGATCTTCCCTCGCATCTGCCATTGCGACTCTGCTGTATCCCGCCACCCACGAGAAAGCTCTGGCTTCCGTGATCCGGTACGACGCTGCTCGTGTGAGACTGCGCGCGTGGGTCGCACTGCAGCGGAAGTACGACATATTTGCCGCCACCAAACGGAACGGCCACAGCTTCCGCGGCTTGACTGGCGGAGCGGCTCCCGGTGTGCATGCCCCATTCTGGTCATCCCGGATCCTTGCTCAGGGCCCGTGGGACCCGTCAAAACTTCCCGTCTCGACCGCTGGCCCTAGGGCCATCCCGATGCCCGTCGCCGTCGCTGACGCCGCCGACCTGGCACCCTTCTTCGACCACCTTGAGCTCGGCGGCACTCACGAGCTCGACGAAAATTCTGCTGGAGCTGACCTCGATGATGGCAAGGGAGAGCCATACTACGGCGTCAAGGGCGCCGAGTTCCGCAAAGGAGTCGTCTACGAGGATGGTCGCATGGACCTCTGCAAAATGGTTGTTGGCCCAGACCACATCGGCAGCCTGATGGACAGCTTACGGCCGAACCCCTTCGTCCGACATTTCCTGCTGGGGAACAACATCATTGGCCCGGTTGGCGCTCAGGAGATTGCCCGCTTCATCAAAGACTTGCCTGATCGCATGGACACTTGGTATCTCGCTGGCAATTGCATCGACGCCCCCAGCTTCAAGATCCTCGTCGATGCCATGGTCACGTCCGACGCCGTCACAAACATTTGGCTGAAACGCAACCCGCTGGGCGCTGCGGCCGCTGCAGATGTCTATCGACTCATCACCCAGACGAAAAACCTTCGCACGCTGGACCTTGACCAAACGGAGCTCGGGGATGCCGGTCTCGCAGAGTTATTCACTCGTCTGGCCATGTACTCCGATCCCTCCGGCCGTAAGCTGCCCCTGCGACATCTTTACTTGAACGGCACCGGTATGTCGACAACGGCTGCCGCAAGGCTTGCATCTTTCTTGGCCTCTCCAGCCTGCGGTGTCACCTCGCTTTACCTGTCCTGCAACCCACTCGGCGACGCAGGCGTGCAAGCACTGGCCGAGGGCGTTCGTCAGGCTCCTCAACTGACTCGCTTGTCACTTCAATCAACCGGTCTGCACACGGCGGGTGCCATTGCCATCTGCAATGCCGTCGCATCGCATCCTAGGATTCGCTTCCTTGACGTTGGTCAGGCATATGCGACCTTGGACCTCGGCCAAGCTTGGAACTACATCGAGGACGCTGTCGCGCCCTCCATCATTGAGCTCCTGTCGACTAACCAGGTCATCGAGTACCTAAACCTCGGCCATTGCCCGATCACACCGCCGGTCCTACGGGAGATCGACGCGGCTGTCTTGAAGTCTTTGCTGCTGTACTACGATGCTGAGTCTATCCTGCCAGACACGACGATCAAGGAGCCTAGATTCAATCCGTCAGCCGATCGGACAATGCCCAACCTGCACTCATTGGGGGCACTTACCAAGGATCAAAAAGCCGTCGAGAAGGCAGTCGATGACCATCTTGAGGCCAATGTGAAAGCCAAGTATGGCAGCGATATGACTTACTCCCGGTTCATGGATGAGGAGAGGCGGTGGATCGTGAACGACAAAGCCGATGTGCGGAAAATTGACTCGGTGTACCGCAATCGCGACGCCGGTTACGCGCGCCGGCGGCTCAAGGCATTGGTGAAGGACTGGGACGAGAACGATGACACTCTGGACCGAGTGATGAACGCGCAGGGTCCATTTTGCACCCGACGTAAACCCGTTGATGTTGCGAATGCGCAGGGTCCTGTTTGAACCCGTCGGAAACACTGAATGGGGGGCGTGGATGGTGCATAGGGAAAAGCCATTAGCGAGATGGTTGAGGAGAAGTTGTGATGCAGTCGGGCGACATGGGCCCGCCTCAGAAGCAAGGTTGCATTGACGGAATGACCTCGCGCACGGATGACACTCGAATAATAGGTTGCGAAAAATGCCTCCCCTCTATCGATTAGTCAATTGGTTCAGGTCTATTAGTCTAGTTGGTTAGGACGTCGGATTCTGATCACATTGGTCTCTTCCGTAAGCCCAGGTTCGAATCCTGGATGGACCTAATTCTTTTGCTGTTGGCGGTGATTAAGCGCTGCGAAGGTTTAGTCTTCAACTGAATTGATTTTTACTTTTCAAACTGAGTTTCGACAGCTGGAATTCACATAACGAGGGCTTCGGAGACTTGCTTATCGGCGATGAGACTTGTAAGCAGACGAAACCCTGCACCTGGCTTACATAAGCGCTAGCGTCATTGCTTGGGACACGACCCGGAGAGACAACCATCAACAATCAACAGATCGCCCAGCGAAGCACCAATCGCGCGTCGCAGGTCGTTCCAATTCCAGCGCCGGCCGCTTGTGACTCGATCGCACTCCAATTACCCAGTGAAACCACATTCTCAACCATCATTCCCTTTCTCACATTCTTCACACTGCGAGACCTGTCTCTGGCCATCGCCCACGCGCGTGCTCCGATCCCACACCCACGTCGGGTCCCGAATACGCCATTTCTCCATCACTCGCACCCCTGCAAGGTCACTCCCGCGCCCACGATACCGCAAAGTCTAATTGATCAACCACACGGAATTTTTACCCATCTCACTCCATTACCGGGCCGATCACTTTTTTTTATTGTGCCAAAAAAGAAACGAGGAAAAAAAAAAAAAAAAAAGGTTCAGCACGCATGCCCCGAGCATGGCGCCGCTGAAGCGCAAACGACCCCACGAAGACCCGGATCCTCCGCCCCCCACCTCCTCCACCACCACCACCGCAGCCGCCGCTCCCACTCCGACCGCTGCCGCCGTCGCCGGCGCAGCCGACTCGACGCGTCGCGCAACGCGTCAAACTCCGATCCTCCCCCCTCCGATCCCGACCTCGCAGTCCCAGTCCGCCGCCGAGGACAAACGCCGTCGCTCCTCAGCCTCGACGAACCCCAGGCCGCAGCTGCACAAGATCTCCGAGACACCCATTCCGATCCCGGTGCCCCCCTCATCAACGTCGTCGACGACGCAGTCTGCAGGTCAGAATCCTCCAGCTGCCGCCGCCCCCGCCGCCGCACCCGAGCCACGCGCGAGCCGACGAAAAAGCGGCACGGCCGCTGATTCCACCGCCGCGATGGGCGCCGCCGTCAAGGAGGCCAAGGAGAACGTCCGGCCGGTGACGCTCGTCGCGCCCAAGATCACGTACCAGGCCTCGCAACCCACGCCGCACCGCACGGGGGGCAGCCTCGTGCGGCCCAGCCCGCCGACGAGCCAGCCGCCGATAACATCGCACTTTCGTCCCGTGGCTAGGCAGCCATACCAACATGGGATACCGGCGACGGTGACTCATGTTCCTGTGCCGGTCCCGCCGACCTCGACGCCGAAGCAGCAGCAGCAGCAGCAACCGCCGCCGCCGCCGCCGCAACAGCATACGCCGGCCGCTCCGAAACCTACACCCTCGAAACCACAACCGCAGACGCATACACAAACGCACACGAAACCGCAAACGCAAACAGCGCAGGCACAAACATCAACGCCCCGGGCGGCGGACAAATCCGCCCCCCGGACGGACCGCAACATCGACAAGGTCATCCTCGGCAACATCTGCTTCCGCGCGTGGTACCCCTCTTACTACGGCAAAGAAGTCCTCGGCGACGCCTCCGTCAGCGGCAAGTCCGGCGCCGCCACCGCCGGCACCACATCAGGCAAGAACCCGCCGGCCGCAGCGGGGGACGGCGCGAAGAACCAGCACCGCAAGGGCGCCGACGCGCCGATCCTCGACCGGCTGTACGTGTGCCCCGTCTGCTTCAAGTACTCCAAGGAGCTCGTCGCGTGGTGGGGCCACGTGCGGATGTGTGAGCGCGCGGGGGCGGTGCCCGGCCGCAAGGTGTACACGCACCCGCGCGGGCGGCGGCTGGTGCGCAAGGAGATGCCGCGGCAGGGCGGGAAGAAGGGGAACGTGGCGGCGAGGTTTACGGAGGAGGTCGTGACAGACGAGGGGGAGTGGAGTGTGTGGGAGGTTGATGGGGAGCAGGATGTTGTGAGTTCTATCCTTTTCGTTCCCCTTTATGTGGAATGTCATGCTAACTCTCCTGGGTTACACAGCTCTTTTGCCAGAACCTGTCGCTATTCGCAAAGTTGTTCCTCGACAACAAGTCCGTCTTCTTTGACGTGCGCGGCTTCAACTACTTTCTCCTCGTCTACACGCCCCCTCCACCCAAACCCGACCCGGCCGCCACACCCGCCGCCGCCACTGCAGATCAGCAGCAACAGCAGGCCCCGCGCCCGCACATTGTCGGCTTCTTCTCCAAGGAGAAAATGTCATGGGATAACAACAACCTGGCCTGCATCCTCGTCTTCCCGCCGTGGCAGCGCAAGGGGCTCGGCGCGCTGCTGATGGGCGTCTCGTACGAGATCTCGCGGCGCGAGGGCGTCCTCGGCGGACCTGAGAAGCCCATCTCGGAACTCGGCCGGAAGGGGTACAAGCGCTTCTGGGGCGGGGAGATTGCGCGGTGGCTGCTCGGCTGCGGGACGAACGAGACCAACAACGGAGAAGTGGAGAGGGAGTTACTGGTCGATGTCGAGGACTGCTGCAAGGCGACGTGGATTGCGCTGGATGACTGTCTGGTCACGCTTAGGGAGATGGGAGTCGTTGTAGAGGGGGGCACCGGGCCGGGGAAGCCGCCTGCGAAGCGGAAGAGGCAGGGGGCGGACGGGGAGGAGGGCGAGGATGAGGATGTGGAGATGGAGGATGCCGGGGAGGAGGAGGCGGAGAAGCCCGATGTTCCGAGGGTGAGGGTTGACAAGGAGGCTGTCTGGGCGTGGGTGCAGGCGAATAAGATTAGTCTTGAAAAGGTATGCGATCCGGATGGGTTCGTGGAGGGGTATGCGATTAAGGAGGTTGAGGAGGATGACGATGAGGAGTAAAAGTTGGCTGGTGCTCCATTGTTAGGTTTGGCGCTGTTATTTGAGTTATGATATCCCCATGATTGCCGTCATCCAAGTTCTAAGGCCGTATTCGCATTCAGTGGCTGAGGGGTAGTGATACTGCGTTACAGGGAGTAGGGAACAACACAAAAGCTGTCACGTTCAAAAAGAGTGCGTACAATTGTGTCAAGATTTAGCGAGAGCTTCAGCTCTAAGGTTGCGGAGGATGATGTCCAGCCTAGGTTCTCAACCATCCTCCATATGAATATGTTCTTCCCGGAAGGCCTTTATGAGGTTTGGGACATCAAGTCGGTAACATATGAACGGCAACATTTGGGACCCAGCCCTTTTGGGGTTTGTCCGTACTGCATGAAATGTGTATTTCCAGAGTTCCAGTCCAGACCTGTCAGGCCGGCTTGTTCGGATGGGACGAAGAACGGTAAGATGCTATTGTGTAGTTCCAGTTTCACATGCAGAGAAGATTAACCTTGTTCCTGTTGACTGGTTCGGCTTGTGCGCGCATCTGCACTCGGACCTGTGCCCAATTTCTAATCGCTCTGTAGAGAACTTTGCTTCTAAAGAGCTAAATTCATCTAAAAATTCATTAGTTTATGAAGAATTGGATTCTTTTTGTCATGACCTACCTGAAGAGGCAACTGACTGCGAGCTTCGGCTTTGCCGGCATTTGAACCCCAAGCAACCATCTAAAAGGCCACGACCTCAGGTGAAGATATTAAATGCCACAAGGAGTCGAGGTTACTGTTTTAATTAAGTGACGCAGGTACGCATGCCAGGTATACAGTGGAACTCCATCACGGACATCAACAACCTCAATATGACTGAAATCCACCACTCTACCGCGGTTCCAGGCGCCAACGGTGCCACAAGGAACATCTCCAACGTCTACAGCAGAGTTGATCACTCCTCCACAAACAAAGGCCATTCTGAAGCAAAACCCCTCGTCTCTTCCTGGCTTCCCACCTTCCACGACACCCTCTCCCCGCTCATGCGCTGGACCGGCCACTACCCACCTAAGCTTCAAGACTACTATCTCAACTTCGCGCGCGATGTCGTAGTCCCCCGCCTTAACCCGCCTCGCCCGGCCGACTGGCCCAAATACATCGGCACGCACGACCATGCGCCATACGAGATCAGTGTCGCCTTTGCACCTCGCAAAAAGGCCAAAGTGCGGTTTTCGGTGCAGCCGCTGGTGGACAGCCCTCAGGATGATGACCCCCTCGGCCAGAAGGAGCTGCGCAAGAAGCTCGATGATATGGCGATTGCATGCCACGCAGACCGCAAGCGGCAGGACGCGTTTCTCGACGCAGTCTTCCTTACGGATGAGGAACAGGCCGGCCTGATTGAGAAGAGCGGCGCGGCTGGTGCGCTGCCGCAGCAAAACGTTTTCTGTGCGTTTGATCTCGAACCCGCCGATGAGAACGGGAGCCCGACTATTCACATGAAGACGTACCTGTTCCCGCAGCTCAAAGCTCTCGCAACAGGCCGGGATCTCATGGACATCACAGAGTCTGTCCTTATACGCCTCGCCGATGGCGATCAGGCAATGCTGGCTGCCTGGGACATGCTCAAGACGTTCCTCACCACCGACGGCAAGGACAACCTCATTCACTTTTTCGCCATAGACTGCGTGGCGCCGCATATGAAGCCTCGCTTCAAGGTCTACACCCACACACACGTGAACTCGCTCGCCTCAGCACAGCACGTCATGACGATGGGCGGCCGCCTTCCCACCCCCAAGTTTCTGAACACTGTCTGGCCTCTGCTCATGGATATGGAAGACGTCCCTCTGGCCGAGAGGGACGGGCTGCAGAAGCCCCTCGCCGAGCCGGATAGCAAGTATTGCGGGCTCAATCCTACCTTTGAGCTGGTGCCGGGCAGTGCGGTTCCGCATGTCAAGATGTACGTGCCTATTTGGCAGTACGCGCGCGATGAGCCTGGGGTTGTGAGGCGGTATCAGCGCTTGTTGGAGACGCAGGGGTTGGGGGACTATGATATGGAGGCTGCTGTTCAATGCACATTGTGAGTATTATCCCTGCTGCGGAAGGTATCTTCCACAGGCTTGAATCCTCGTTCATGATAACTAATCGAGCCACAAAACAGAGGTGACAAGAGAGACACGGGCATGCATAACATGGCGTCAATTGTGCCTACTGGGGATGGAAACAGTGTTGCGTTTACCGCCTACCTTGGGCCGAGGTTTTGGGAGTAAGCTCTAGTCATGGATCATGTATGATTTCGGAGTCATGACGGTGAAGTCGTCAGAAAGTCATTGAATGAAGACGTAACTTTATATCTGCGTGCGGCCCGATATGCGAAGTTGCTAGTTCCAAGCCTAAAAGTCACAAAGGATTCTGTTCTATACTCTGAAGATACCTGTTTTTTTTTCACGCAAGGCCTTTTTCTTAGGTTGGGTTTTTGAGTTGTCGGTGTCAAAACAGACATATGGACTTGTCCGTCCCCTAAGCTTTTCATTATTTTGTACAGTTTCTTTTGCTTATTCATAAGAGATCTTTTACAGCCCAAAGCCTCAGTCAGCTACGAGGTCTCCTCCTCTAAATTCTCACTTTCACTTGTCTTACCCTGCTAAATACACTAACCTGACATAAAAAGCTGGTTAATAATGTTGCTCATAGGCAAGATACTGCACTATCCCTGCTAGAATGATTCAGTTAAAGCAATGCATAGAGCTGAAGAATCTTCAATATTAAGAAGGGTCTATCTCTTCCTTACCTAGCTTTAAGTTTAAATTTAAGTGTTACAGTCAGCTATCCGACAGTAGGGTCTGCTAATAGAAGCTGGGGATTAATACGTTCTAATAGTATACTAGGTCGTAGTCTAAGTCGTAGGTCGTAGGCTAAGAGTAGGTTAGATCTTTAGAAACTAAGGTGATCAGTCTTAAGCTTAATAAGTAATTCGTAGTAAAGGTAAGCTAAGAGTATCTTAAGGATAAATACTAAGTTAATTACTAAAGAGCTATAAAAGTCTACTTATAAACTAAACTTAAAGTTATACTATATATAAATCTAATTTTAAATATATTCCTTTATACTTTAAATTAATCTAGATTATTCTAATTTAGAATAATTATTTAACCCTTAAGTTATATAAGATTATATTAATTTAATATAATTATTATCTTATTATTATATAATTTAGACTATAGGTCTTCTATTTACTAAGTAAGTCCTTATTATTCCTATAATCCTATAGTATAAATATCCTATCCTAATTACCTACTACTTAAGTAGGTTAGTTATCTATTATTCCTATATATTAAGTTATAATATTAGGTCTACTCTCTAAAGGTCTTATCCTTAAGACCTAATATAAGTAGGTTATTAGTCTTAGGTTAGGGTATTATTAATTATACTTCCTAATTTACTTATAATATTAATACTATATTAAGTTATATTTAGAAGTTAGATTCTTATAAGACTTATTATTCTTAGATTTAGTATAATTATAAGGCTCTTAGTGCTCTAGTTAATTACTATAATTATAACGTAATACCTTATTCCCCTTATTTTTAGTATAATTAAGTATATAAAATAGATCTTACTAATTTAAAGTATTATAGTGAGTATATAAAGTAGGGTTTTTTGAATTATAATAATAGTGATATAGTAAATACTTATAAGTTCTTTAGTACTTTAGTATTTCTTAGTATTATTAATCTTATCTTAATAGTAAATTATTATTTTAATAAGTAAAAGAAAGTAAAGTAGGAGGAGGAAGAGGTTAAGGAGGTATTAGAGATACTATAAACTTAGCTTATTACTACTCTAAGTTATTTATCCTATCTTTAGAAATAGAAGAGGTTTTTAAAGGAATATAGGTTAGATTTAATTTATTAGGGGATATAATTTATTAATAAATAGGAGGCTAAGGAGTATACTTTAGAAGCTTAGGAATCTAGAGTAATAGAGGATTTATCGTTATAGGGGGCTTAGAATGAGTTAGAATAGCCTTCCTTAGGTATAGGTTTTATAGATTTAGGTATTCCTCTAAATATAAGGTCTTCTGAGGTTTCTTAGTTGTTCTCTAGTGTTCCTAGGTAGATAAATAGTTTTCCTTATTGTAGTTAACCTACTTCTATTAGTAGTTTAGTGAAGCGATATAAGTGTTTAATTTGCTTATATTTAGTGTTTTTCTAAACTAATATAATAGGTGCTAATATAACTTCTTATTCTTAGTGTTATTACTAATAGATTATAAGTTCTTCTGCTGCGTTAGTAATATTTTTAGCTAGTTCCTATATATTATCTTTATATTTATATCCTTTCTATTTAATAAGGTATTAATACCTTTCTAGCTTCTTAAAGTAGTTTATAATTTGTTCTACTTTATATTTTAGTTTATTATCTTCTATAATAATAAAGTTATCTATTTATAAACCTTATAGGGCTAGTTTAAGTAGTAAGATATGAAATACTAAGTGATACTTTATAGTTCTTAGGAGTTTAAGTTTATAATTAACTAGTAATATTACTCGTAAGATTTTAAAAGGTCTAAGTTTTTTATAGTTAAGTTTATTACTAGGTTATTTTGTTTTAATATTTTACTATATAAGGTAGGCGCTATTTCCCTCTTTTAAAGTTAGTCCTTTAATCTTTTATTTATTACTGAATTTAATTATTCTTTATTATATAAATTTAAGTTCCTACTATATACTTTTCTAGATATTCTTAATCTATTATACTAAAGTGATAGCTTTAATTATAATTAGCCCTACTTAGGGTTCTCTATAAGTAGTAGGTTTAAATCTATAGTTAAGGTAGAAAGGGGATTCCTTAGTATTTTCTCTAACTACGCTATTATAGGTAAACTAAGTAATTAGTAGTAATATAACCTAATTATCCTAGTTATAGTTAATATAAGCGTAGAGGTATATTTTAAGGATTTAGTTAATTTGTTCTATTTATTTATTAGTTTATAAGTAAAATGTAGTAGATATAGATTGCTTAATACTAAGTTATACT